CTCATTACATTGGCTGGCGCCTCCAGAGCAGTGTTAAATATTAAAGGGATAATGGTCATGACTTGTTTCTTACAGTCTTGGGACTATTTCTCATGTTTCACCAGTAAAGATCATGCTGGCTTTTGACTGAAGATATGGTACAGAAGTAGTCATTATTCCTGCTTTATTAAGACTTCTTACTGTCAGGAATGTATAAAATGTATAATTTTATCAAATGCCTTTCGAATATCCACAGAGGAGATCATGCTATTTTCCCCTGTGATGTACTAATATGGGGATTTCTTGTGAAAGGTGTTCTAATGGTGACTCAGCCTGCTTCTTGGTTGGAACCTGCTTTTCTCTGGTGGATTCATCTTTTAATGTGCCACTGGTTTTGTGTGTTGCTGTTTAAAATTGACAGTGGTCTACAGATGTCTTTAAATAAACTCTGTTGTTGTTGCTAGGTGCCATGAGTCGATTCTGACTCATAATTGACCCCATGTGACAGAGTAGAATTACCCCATAGGGTTTTCTAGGCTGTAATCATTACAAGAGCAGATCACCAGGTCTTTCTCCCATGGAGCCACTGGGTGGATTTGAACTGCTAGCCTTTCAGTTAGTAGCCAAGGGCTTAACCATTGTACCACCAGGTCTCCTAAATTAGCTCTAGTTCTTCTCAATCCCTCTCCTCAAACCCCAGCAGCCGGTCTAGTCACACAAGTCCAAGCTAGTGCCTCAACTTCTGGCCTCAGATTTGGGCAGATGAGGAGGTCCAGATGTTCCTTTCCTGGAGCCTCCCGAGAAGGTTGCCCTTTGTGGAGCACTGCAGGGTGAGTCCTCGGAGAGTGTGAGTCAGTGCCAGGCAACTCACTCCTCCCCACCCTCTGTCCTCCCCAAAGCAAGTCAGTCAGTGTGGGCTGATCCTGCTGCCCTCCACAGAGAGAGATGCTGGGGTGGAGGAGCGGGCTCAGCTCCCCTCTGCCTCCAACCACTCTGTAACTCTGTCCCCAGCAGGGTGCCTGCCCTAGTCAAGAGCCATCCTTTCCACCCAGGAGGGTGCGGGCCACCTGGGACAGCAGGTGGATCTCCTGGAATCTACCAGACCCAGATTAGGCACTTGATACCCGTCTTGGCCCAGGAACCTGGAAGGTCTGGTTAGAGGATGTGGGCCCCTCCCCCAGAGCTGGGCCTGATGTCTCCTCCTCCGCTGACCTCCTTGGCTGACTTCAGTGGCTTGTCCCACCCTGTTTGCGGGGGAGGGGGGGACAACAGAGCCAAGCCTTCCCCTGAAGCCTTCTGGTGTTGGCATTCTGGGTAGGGAGGTAGGGTGCTATGGGCAGGCTTTCAGTGGTCACAGTCCTCATGTGAAGACCCCAGTATATCCTTCCTCCTGTCAGCCAGCTGCTCACTTCATTCATTCAAAACATTTCAACCAAGTCTCTAGGTTTTCTAACTGCGTGCTGGGTGGGGGTCAGATTGAGCTGTCTTCATCTCTGCCATCAAGGAACTTGTAATCTGATGCCAAAGGCACACACACCTGCTGAACAGTCCGACTTAGTGGTTGGGAGCCAGATTGCACGGGTTCGAATCCAGGCACCACCACTTCCTAGCTATGTGACCTGGGGCGCATTACTCAGTCTCTGTAACTCAGTTTCCTTGTCTTTGAAATGGGGATAATAATGTGTAAAGCACTCAGAGCGGTGCCTAGCACAGAGTAGGGCTTTATAACTGTTTAATTTAAAAATAAGCAAAAACTTCAGTTCAGCGTTGATTATGCAGTATTGCTAGGTTGGATCAGAAAAGCAACACTGCCAAGGGGAGCTTCTCCTTTTTCCAAAAAGGGGCAAAAGAATCAAATTCCAAAGGGACCTGGGAATGAAATTTAAGCTTGGTCCTGTTTGGTTGCTAGTATGCTGCTGTTTAAACTGAATTTCTCTTCAGTGGAAAAATATAACCAGATAGCATGGCAAAATAATCAAATTGGCAACTGCACCCAGCCAGGCCATTCAGATGGGTGTAGGTTTTGGGAAGCTAGCACCGCACGTATCGTAAGGGCCAATATTCCTTTTAGCTTCCTTGGAAACAAATGCTGCTCTGAGGCGAAATCTCCTGCCCGGCCTTGTGGAGACAGGGTCAGGGAGGGTTTAGCAGGAGGAGGGTGGTTGGGCTGGCTGTGTGTCACACATGAAGCAAAGCCTGGAGCAGTTATTACATTTCACCTTGCTAGATCTGCCCTGAAGTCCCTGGGTGGTGCAAACGGTTAATGTTCTTGGCTACTAACTAAAAGGTTATAGGTTTGAGTCCACCCAGAGGTGCCTCGGAAGAAAGGCCTAGTCACCTACTTTCAGAGAATCAGCTATTGAAAACCAACCCTATGGAGCACAGTTCTACTCTAACATATGGGGTTGCCATGAGTTGGAATTGACTTGACAACAACTGGTTTCAGAACAGCCCTGGCATTTACTTTCCCAGTCAAAGAGGACTCAACAGGTAGGTTTGTGTCTCCCAGATCTGTCTGTTGTCAAAAAACTAGGCCGGCACATGGAAGAATGTCTAGACCGTCAAAACACGCACTTTATGTCAGACCCTGGTTCTCAAGCCTTTAGCCAAAGTAAGCTGGGGTGAGGCCAAGGCTTCCTGGGAGGGAAGCCCTAAGATTCCTCTTTGGGCCTATCTCTGCCAGGGCTAGAGACAACTGAGGACTCTGCATGACAGCCCCCTCCCAGCTTCGTACAGATTGTCATCCTGTGTGGTCCCAGAGCAGCCCCGTGGGGATGTCACGGCCCCATTTTGTGGATGAGAACCCAGAGGTTTAGTGAGGTGAAATGAGTCCCTCGAGTCACACAGACAGGACAGAGTGGAGCCAGGATTTATCCCCAGATCCGTCTCGGCTCCAAACCAGGGGTCAGTAAACCAAACAATGGCCCACAGTGCAAGCCAAGTCCTCCCCTCTGCTTGTTTTTGTACAGCCCATGAGTTAAGAATGGTTTTTGCATTTTTTAAATGGTTGAAAAAAAAAAGAATATTTTGTGACATATGAAACTGTGAAATTCAAATTTCAGTGTACATAAGTAAAGTTTTATTGGTCCACGGCCATGTCCATTTGTTTACACATTATCCACAATGCATTCAATACATACTAGAGTGGCAGAGTTGAGTAGTTGCGACAGAGACCTTATGGCCTATAAAGTCTAAAATATTTACTGTCTGGTCTGGTCTTCTATAGAAAAAGTTTGCTGGCATCTGCACTAAACCACTATGTTGAGAGCCTGGAGCTGGATCTCCTTGCTAAGTGTGAGGACAATATGGAGGACTATGGGTGGTGTGATACTAGCTTTACCAAACCAAAACCCGCTGCTGTCAAGTCGATTTTGACTCACAGTGACCCTGTAGGACAGAGCAGAACTGCCCCATAGGGTTTCCAAGGCTGTAATCTTTACAGAAGCAGACTGCTACCTCTTTCTCCCACAGAGTGGTCGGTGGGTTCGAACCGCCGACCTTTCGGTGCTTAACCACTGTGCTACCAGGGCTCCGTGATACTAGCTTTAGGTGGATTTAAAACTGACTGGATGGCTGAGAGGTCTCTGGTGGCATGCTGCAGGGCTCTGTCCTCAGCCCTGTCCCGGTCAACATTTGTATCAGCAGCCTAAGTGAGGATGGGGGGCATGGTGGACTCAGCTGGTTGTCCTGTGTTCCTTCCTAGCAGAGCCCTGATTTGAATCGACTTCCACGCATTCCTGGCTTCAGAGGTGACAGGTTCAGGAAGCCTAGCTTCAGCTGATCAGTACATCACCATCTTCCAGTGGCCTCTCTTTTTGCAGGGATGAGTCTGTGTCCTAATCTGGTTCAGTGAGGCTGAAGTTGCGGACTTCCATTCCATGGTTGGGAGAGAGGTTCCCTCTCTCTCTCTTCTTCTCTGTCTCCTACTGGCCATGGACAAGGAAAATGGTCACCTGTAGGCTTCTTGGGACAACACTGGGATGTTGTTAGCATTGTGGGTGGTCAAGTGGGGAGCAGAAAGAAACGTGAGTCCTATCATGACATGATGGAGCTGGTAAATCTGCACAGCCTGCCTTGCCTTGAGACTTCCTGCTAGAGATGATCCTCGCTTTTCTTATAACCAAAACCAGTTGCTGTTGAGTTGATTCTATCTAACTCATGGTGACCCCATGTGTATCAGAATAGAACTGTACTCCATAGGGTTTTCAGTGGCTGGTTTTTTGGAAGTAGATTGCCAGGCCTTTCTTCCCAGACACCTCTGAGTGGACTTGAACTGCCAACCTTTCGGTTAGCAGCTGAGCATTTAACCATTTGCACCAGCCAGGGACTCAGGAAGTGTTGTTATAGGAGTCCTTTGATCCACTCTAAGACGTTGTGCGTGTTAATTCTGTGTTAGGGATGTGGGTAGCACAGCTCCTGAGAATGGACCCCACACACTAGACAGTTCTCACTTTAGGCCATCCAGTGTAAAATGAGGCTTAACTGGCATGTCCTCTTCCTTTCCTGATGCTGATTCAGGCCTACCGCAGGGTGAAAGAGCTGTTCACCAAGAACTGTCTAGATGATTGTAAAGGGACTATTATCTCTGAAGAAGGGAGGAATACCTGATGTAGCATTTGCTGCTTAAAGAAAAAGTAGAGTCCTGTGTGGCCCTCCCCAGGCAGACAGACAGGCAGCTGGCATTTGGAGCTCAGGAGCAGTGGTGTAGTTTAAGACCAGGCCTGGAGGCAGCAGACACTGGGCAGAAATCTATGCTGGCCTGAGAGGGGCGTGTACAGCTCCTGGTGTGCAGGGTGAGCTGGCCAGAAGAGCAGAGCAGAAGCCCCATTACTAACTAGCGGCCAGCAACAGTGCTGAACGGCACAGAGTCGCTGAGGATTGTCCCAGCCCCTAAATCCCATTGAGTGGATGGAGGTATGGCCCTGAGGTCACACGGAGCAGCAGGTCAGGCTGCCTTGGTGCTGGGCCTGGTGGAGGCAGGCGCCCTGCCACACCACTTCAGAGCCTGGGTGTCCCCACAGGTCCATGACCGCCTGGATCGCTACTGCTGTGGCTTTGAGCCTGAACCCTCGGATCCCTGTGTGGAAGAGAGGCTCCGGGAAAAATGCCGGAACCCTGCTGAGCTGCGACTGGTCCACATCCTGGTACGTCTCCTCATGGCTCCTGGTCAGCCCAGCCCAGGTCTTCCTGTCTCCTTCAGAAACTACAGTTACTGAGTTTCAGAGATCATCTGATGCTGGATTTCCCAATCCTGTTCTTTTTGGCAATAGACTTCCTTTGAGTAAATATTTCCAATTTATAAAACTGGCAAAAGTGGAGCTTTGAGAATGTGGCTGAGGTGAGGTCACGGAAGGGGGTCTGGAGCCCCGTTGTCGCCATTGCCACTGCCCTGTGGCCCCCAAGAGACTCCAGGGAACCCCTAGGGCTCCAGGAATCAAAGTCTGAGAGCTGTCTGTCTAGCCAGACTTCCTCATTGTGCATGCAGATGAGGAAATTGTGGCCTGGGGAGGAGAAGGAGTTCCCAACGCCACGTGGCCGGTTGGTGGCAGCAACGGGGCTCCAACCCAAAACCCTGATGTCCCCCAGGCCAGTGCTGATCAGAGAAACTCGGTGCTGCCTCTGGTTAGAGCTGGAGACCAGGGTGGGAAGCAAAGTGGCCATCAGAGAGGGACCGGCGCGGCCAAACAGCCACTTCTCCTGCACAAGAAGCAAGGTGCTACCTGGGGAAGCTTTCTCCACCTTACTCCCCCGACGAGGCCTACCGTCCACATCCCCTCTTCGCCCGGCTGCTTCTGGAGGGTGGCTGTCAGTGTGCTGCCAGTGCTGAGCTCCAGGCAGGCCACACTGACCCTGGAGGCCAGGGCTGCCAGTGGAGCCGCTGGGTGGTGGGCTTTTTGGGCCCCTGTCCCCCAGGGTCATCTCTTCTCTTCCCTAATAAAAGGCAAATATCCCTGGGAGAAGTAAAGCTTCCATATCCGTCACTTACCCCTTGCAAGGCAGCCATTTCACAGGTCCTTTAGGACAGCAATTTTCAGAGGGAAGAGTCACTAGGCTTTGGAAAAAAACGTGATACTTGCTGTATGGAGGGAGTTGAGGGGGGAGAAGAGGCAAAGAGAGGAGAGCTGGGGCCCTGGAGACAACCAACCTTATAATTCAAGCCTAGGTCGCTGGAGAAGACTATGAGGTGTTACCAGGGAATTCTGGGGGCTACGTGGGGGTGAGTGTGCACATGGGGGGAATTCTGGAGAATATGTGGGGTGAGTGTGCGCACGTTGGGGGGAGAAGGTCTCAGGTGCTCAGCCACACCTAGTACCCTTTTGAAGGTACGGAAGAATTCCCTGTTGCTGATTTTAGTTTTGAAAATGTTTAGCAGAAGCCAAATGCTTCTCCTGTGGAAACAGAGTATAGTCAGTGCTGTCAGAGGTGTGTTACCCGTGATGCTCGGGGGAATGCCCAGGTATGCAGGCACAAGTGGCACCCAGGTGGTGAGCCTGTGTGAGCATGTGTATGTGTGTGAGCGTGTGTGTGTGTGAGTGTGTGTGCATGCATGTGAGTGTGTACTTGGTGAGCATGTGTGTATGAGCATGTGTGTGTGTGTGTAAGTGTGTAAGCATGGGCATGTGTGATACATCATGAACGCAGATGGCCCTGATGAGTACGTTACTCTGTGCTTGCAGATTCCTGCCCAGGCTCCTCACCCCTTCAGCCACTTGGTGTGGGAAACAGAGGTGACTGTCTTCTCAGTAGTAACCAACACAGGAATCAGTCCCTCTGCATTGCAATATAGCAGGATGGTGCTGTGGCTTACAGCTACAGGTCCAGGTTTGAAACCAGCCCAGCTGCTTATTAGCTGGGTGATTGTGTGCAAATTGCTTAACTTCTTTGTGCCTCCATTCCTATAAAATGCGGCTAATCCTAGTGCCCACCTGCTAAGCTTACTGGGAGGATTCATTAAGAAGACGCCAGGAGGCACTTTGCACAGTGCCCGGCATAGAGTAAGCTCCCAGTGCATGGAAATCATTTGGGCAGTAGCAGGGTGGATTGTGGGACTGCCAGCTCAGGGCCCCCAAACCACTTAGCCTTCCCAGAGTCCACAGGCACCAGCTCTGCTGCACTCTTACCCCCTCGTCTCTGTCCATCTTCTTTCCCTGAGGTCCGGAGCAGCGATCCATCTCATCTAGTCTACATCGATAATGCAGGAAACCTTCAGCACCCGGAGGACAAGCTCAACTTTCGGCTGCTGGAAGGCATAGATGGGTGAGGTTCAAAGGCAGGGAGACTGGGAGCAAAGGGATGGATGGAGTTGGAGGTACAAGGACTGAGGCTTAAAGGCCTTGCTGCAGGCTGTGGGGACTTGAACTGTGGCTCCTGAGAGGTTCGTGGTCCATCAGACAAAAGCTCTCAGAGCTGAGATTCCGGAGGGGCAGAGAGCCCTGGGAAAGTGGAGTGGGAATGCAGCCATCAGGCCCCACCAGCCCCTGGATGGAGTGTTGAAGCCTCCACAATGTACAGAGGGCCTCCTGGCCCTGCAGAAGCTGGGGTATGAGAAAGATAGCCCTTCCCTTACCTGGGGTGGGAGAGCTAGCCTGGAACCCTACCCTTCCCTGCTCATTCCTGGCAGGCAGCTCTGGCTTCCTGGGGCTCTTTCCATGTAGAGCATTTGCCATGTAGAGCAGTGGGCATTGCACCCAGGAGAAGAGTTGATTCCCCCAGCTTCTCTGAGGGGTGGGACCATTCTGAAAGCTCTATCGTCTGCTTTCACAGCAGAGTGGGCCAAAGGGGGTCTCTGCTAACCAGGCAGGAGGTGTGGCCCAGGGGGACTTCGAAGGTGACTTTGCCAGGATTCCCCAGCTGTGAAAGTCCTGGCCATCTGGCTTTGCCTTTGTCTGAAACTCTGAGTTTACTTTTGCTTTTCCTTTTTGTTTCGGGGGCTCGGGGGGCTTTCTTCCAGGTTTCCAGAGTCTGCCGTGAAGGTCCTTGCATCAGGCTGTCTACAGAATATGCTGCTCACGTCGCTGCAGATGGACCCGGTGTTCTGGGAAAGCCAAGGCAGGGCCCAGGGCCTGAAGCCGGTTCTCCAGACCCTGGAGCGGCGAGGACAGGTCCTGCTGGGACACATACGGAAGCACAACCTGACGCTCTTCGAGGACGAGGACCCATGAGCCCCCACCAGGCAGGGGTCTTGCCTCCCAATACCACCCTGAGTCGATGAGCCCTCATCCTGACGACCATACTTGCTTGGGCTCACCCATCTTGAAGACAAAGGGGAGAAGCCCGAAACCAGAGGGCACCATGGCTGCTGTGGGATGTTCCACCTGCCTGGGATGGTGGAGGTGGTTGTGGGTGTTTGGTGTCCAATCTCACCACACTCTTAGATGGAAATACCCGCACTCTCTGCCTTCTCAGCTTTGGCTGCTTTCTCCCTCGCACCAATAAATACATTCAAGAATGTTCTGTGAACTGCTCTAGATACTGTCAAATTGTGTATTCTACATGCATCTGCAGAGCCGACTACTGCGTGCATGCGTGTGTGTGTGTGTGTGTGTGTGTGTAGAGGTGTGTAAGTGTGTGTGGCATGTTTGCAGGGGTGCACGCATACATGAGACAAGCATAATAAGGCTCCTCATTTAATTGTACTTGTAGCCCATGACTTCTCTGGTTCAAAGTAGACTCAGGTCCAAGAAATGAAACACTAGTGTTTTGTCTTTATAGTCTTTAAATTTTCAGTTCTTCCTCAGTTACATTTTTTGGTTTAAACACTAGCTGTGGTGTGGCTTCCTGGGCATCTTACGTGAGTCAGAGTTCTACTGTCATAGTTGCTGTGGCCATTGTCCATTTGTATAGTCAATCTGTTGATGGTAAGACAGCATTAGCTCCATTTCTTCCTAGTCCAGGAAGCCAAAGCACAATCTCTGCCGCCATCTGCCCAGAACATTCCCCTAGCCAATTACACAAGGAGCCCTGGCGGTGCAGGGTTAAGTGCTCAGCTGCTGACCGAAAGGTTGTTAGTTCGAACCCACCAGCCGCTCTGCAGGAGAAAGATGTGGCAGTCTGCTTTCATAAAGACTACAGCCTTGGAAACCTTAGAGGCAGTTCTACTCTGTCCTATAGGGTCACTATGAGTTGGAGTCAACTCAACAGTAACAGGTATGGGAACCAATTACACAGGATGCCCCACTCCAGTTTCCCTGTGCCAACAACCTCCAATCAGGGCACACCTGAGGCTTTTTCTGTTTTCATTCTAAAGCTCTTCCCTTCTTCTGCCTGCCTTGAGTCTCTGCCAAATGCAGGTGATGGTGGCTGACTCCCTTGTTATAACAAGCTCTGAATAAATAGCCTCTGCTTGTTTTCATTTTGGTGGTCATTTAGTTCCACATCACTTTGCTGTGAGGATTAAACAAAGTTAGATGGTAACCTGGGTGAAGGCAGCTGGCTCAGCACCCTGCCAGGCAGGCAAACTGAGCCACACCCTAAGAGGATTTCCTTTACACTGAACTAGGCCTGGGATGGCTTCCAGGAAAAGGAGGGGAAATTTGCCTAGAGGGTGAGTGGGTTGGCTGTGTGGGGTGTGTATGTGTGTGTGTTTTGCATGTGTGTGTATGTGTGTGTGTGTGTGTGTGTGTGTGTGTGTGTGTGTGTTGAGCAGACACTGAGAGATCCCTCCCAGCCTGCCCAGTCCATGTCAACCACTTGTGATAGTGTGGGCCCAACTATCCCTGTTTAGCCAACCCAGCAAAAACACCACCTCTGGGCGATCGCCTCAAAACTGGTCTCTTCCTCCCTCAGGAGGGGCAGGCTCCAGGTCCCGCCCTGCCTGAGCTCCCCAGAGCTCCAGGGCCAAGCCACTGCCGCCCATTGCCTACCCCAGCTACTCCTCAGCTGAGAACAGCTCCACTTTGGGGTACTGGTCTCCATGTGCTGTTCTGCAAAAGGTCGCTTTTTGAATTCCTACCTTCTGCCTCAGGGCAGTCATTTTATTTTTAATCCTTAATTTTTATTTTTTAAATTTGCTTTTCAGAACTACTTTAGGAAAATAACTTCAGTGAGAGAGATGACTGGACTTGAACACAGGAGCTCGGGGTTCAGATCTGAGCTCAGCCACTTGTACAATTGACAAATTTTTATGGCACATTTTCTATAAGAACCACTAACATTTACTGAGTGCTAACCATGTGCCAGGCACTGTGATATAGGCTTGACACAGATTAAAGCATTTAGCTTCATCACAACCTGATGTTGCTGGTAGCTGCCGTGGAGTCAGACTGTTGTGATCCACAAGGTTTTCACTGGCTAATTTTCAGAAGTAGATCGCCAGGCCTTTCTTCCTAGTCTGTCTTAGTCTGGAAGCTCTGCTGAAACCTGTTCAGCATCATAGCAACATACAAGCCTCCACTGACAGTGGTGGCTACACATGAGATGCATTGGCTGGTAATTGAACCCAGGTCTCCGGCATGGGGGGTGAGAATTCTAGCACTGAACCACCACTGCCTCTACTGGACAGGCAGGTGTTACTATTAATATCTCCATTTTACAGACAAATTAATAACATGTTCAAGGTCACCCAGCTTGTAGGTAGAAGGGCCAGAATTCAAACCCAGGTAGGAACTGTGCCAGCAAATCTCAACCCCAGGACTACCAATAAAAGATGCTCCCACCACCCTCCCCAGCTGCTCTGACAGCTCCTTTCCCTTGGACTGACAGCTCATGACAAGGCAGGGCCAGTTCCCTGGAATGTGGAGCAGCAAACGAGACTCTCCACCAAGCACATGCAGATGCATTTGGCTCCCTGCCCTAGGTCTTTGCCTGCTAAGTCTGCTCAGGCTGCTAACTGAGTCTTTATTGCAAACTTGAAACTTCATCCACTTTTGATCCTTTTCAAAGAAAATTCTCAGCCTCAGTGCTGGCTGCTTCCCCTCGCTGCCCCCAGCCATTACCTCTGGAATGAGAATAATGTGCCAAGAGAAGCAAACAGCTGGGGAAGCAAATCAGGACCTTCCCAGTCAGGAGCTGTGGCGGGGTCTGCACTGTGGCATCTGCTCACTTCAGGCAAATCGGCCTCAGGAAAGAGGCCGGGAGGGGCTCTGTCAGGGCAACCACAGTTGCTGGCCTCACCCCTCCGGTCCGTGCCTGCTTCTCCTGCACCTCACCCCGAATGGGGCTATTCCAAGGAAAATGATGCCATTTCCAAGCTGGGGGGGCTGATGTAGTCACACAGGTTCACAGCCCTCTAGATGCAATTCCAGCAATCCTCAAAGCTCTGGAAACCAAAAGCTTTTTCATCTGTTTGGTGCCAAAACTCACCCACTCAGGGTGAATATTCATGTTTCAGTGCAGAAATACTGATGTGTTTGCTTATTGGATGTAACCTCAGACCCTGCTGAGGGTGTTGCACAATACACAGTATACGCACCATATCACCTTTTCTCAATCTGGAAAATTCAGAATTCTGAATCACAGCTGGCCTTGAGGGGCTGGGTATGGGATTGTGGACCTGAAATAATTTACTGCTGAGGGCTTCACAAAGATACTCTCGTGAGTGTCTTACAACCCTGAAAGAGATACTACTATCTCTCACTTTACAGATGAAGAATTGAGGCTGGGAGAGGGGAGTGACTTGCCCAAGTCCCCACAGATAGGAAGTAGTGGAGTTCATATGTGAACACTGTGGACTCAGTCATGGTGCTGGATGGAGACGCGAGGGACCCCTGAGGTCCTTGACTTCAGAGATTTCCAGAGTGGACGCTGGTTCAGAGGGAGGCTCTGGGGTGTGGTGAATCTTGGAGATGCATAGCCACGTGGGCATACTAAAGGCTCAGTGGCATCCTGGAGCCAAGAGCCCTGTTCAATGCTGCCTTTCCTAAATTTAGTTTGCTATGGAGCCCTCCCTTTGTTTTTTTGGGGGGTGGGGTTTGGTGGTTGTTGTTATAACACCTATTAGCATTCCTCAAGATGCACTTTGGGAGATCCTGACTTGGTTCAAACCCATTTCGTTCTGCAGACAAGGATGCTGAGGTCCAGAGAAAGGTCCTGATCAAGGATACCAGGACAATGGCTCTTTCCCTGGTGTGATGAATGTGATGTTCCTCCTCCAGGCACAGCCCCCAGCCTGGGGTTTCCAGGAGAGCTGGAGGTCGGATGTGGGTTTTCTGAGTGAGTGTCACAGGGCCTTGAGGTCAGGACGCAAAGCAGTCCCTTTGGCCATTCATCCCCCATTGGGTCACAGGGATGTGAGGAGTTGGTTCATGTGCCTCAGTGGTACTAAGGTGAACTGATTCCTGTTATCCTGGAGACCAGGGCCTCAGGCTGGGCAGTGGAAGTATGAATCAAGGCTGCTTGCCCTCCTACCTTTCTCTTGCCCTCCCTGTCTCTACTGTCTCCATTTCCAAGCAACTCTGTTTCAAAGGCACAAGAACTGTTTTCAGTGATGGTTAGTGTATGACCCCGAGAGTACACCAAAGGTCAGAAGGGCTCGTGTGCCCACATAACCACGAGGTCTGGACCGCAGCCCCTTCCTGGTAGGTGCTGATCTCTCCAGGTGCTCTGGACCTGTGGTGTGCTGCGCCTGTCCTTGAAGCCCCAGATAACCTCTGGCAGTGCAGGAGGATTGTACTACCTGCCCCTGCCACCACCTTCCAGACATCATCTCCAGGGCCTGCCGTTGAGTCTGAGTCTGAAAACCATTACTCAGTGGCTGTACCTGCAGACAGCTGAACACAGTCAAGCTGGTGTGAACCAAGAAAGGATGAATTAAACAAGACTGGGAGCTCTGGAGGAGTCCCTGGGTAGTACAAATGGTTAACACACTTGGTTGTTAACGCAAAGGTTGGAGGTTCAAGTCTACCCAGAGGCATCTTGAAAGAAAAACCTGGTGAGCTATTTCCAAAAAATCAGCCATTGAAAATCCTATGGAGCACAGTTCTACTCTGACACAAATGCGGTTGCCATGAGTCGGAATCAGGACAGATGGCCACACTACACCAAAGACTGCCCCATCGAAGACCCCACTGCCATCAGCTGACACTGCTGATTATGGGGCTGCCCTGGATTCTCTACCCCTCGGTCCTCTGCACCCTTGCTAGAAGCCAGAATGATCCCCCAGTGCATCTGCTTCTTCACTTTGCTCACTTCTGAATCAAAGGCTCATGCAAAAAGTTGTGTGATA